ACACGGGTCAACAGTGATGCGGATGATGAGCTACGGGATTACTGCCAGCGGACACCGCATATCCCCACAATGGATAATCCACTGGAGTGGTGGGCAGAAAACGTGCACCGCTTCCCCGCTTTCGAGGAGCTACCTGGCTATTCCAGCCACAAGCACCCCGAGTGAGAGGGTTTTTTCCCTGGCAGGCAACACTGTCACCCGAAAGCGATCAAGCCTCCTTCCCTCACATGTCGACGCGTTGGTGTTCAAACCACACCAAAAATATGGAAAGGTGGACGTTATCGTGGAGGGACAGCGAATAAAGTGTTGCGCACTGGATTTACGTGGCATTTATGTAAACAAGAGTATTTTGCTGTCGATTTTGGTGAGTCCAGTTACTGGTTGTTATTTACTCAGCCCTGTAACACAAATTAAAATGCAGTGTTTAATGTTACTGTATGAGTTCCAATATAAAATACAGTTGTACACCTCTCTTTGTGTGTTCTTTATTATGACGTGTCGACTAGTCGACTGCTATTTTAGAAAAACGTGTCGACTAGTAAATATTGGTAGTTGTGAAACCCCTAGTGTGTGTGTGTGTGTGTGTGTGTGTGTGTGTGTGTGTGTGTGTGTGTGTGTGTGTGTGTGTGTGTGTGTGTGTGTGTGTGTGTGTGTGTGTGTGTGTGTTAGGGGTTTCACCAACTAATCGATCGACTACCTTTACCACTAGCCGGCGCTGTAGGCCCTAGTCAACTAGTCGTGAAAAAAATGGAGGTAAACGAGGTGCTGCAAAATGCTACAAAACACGTCCGACATTCTTATGTATGGCAGTACTTCAACGAAGATGTAACCAACTCCACAGTGAAGTGTCAGTTGTGTACAGCTGTACTGAAGTACAATACAAATGCATCTGCTATGCGCAACCATCTGAAAGATGAAACACCCGCTGCCGACAGCTAGCACTAGCAGTAATGCTAGCACCAGTGAGCAACGGACCGGCGTCAGCGCTGGACAGAGGCAGACGAGCAGCAAAAAAACACGAGTCAACAGTGATGCGGATGATGAGCTACGGGATTAATGCCAGCGGACACCGCATATCCCCACAATGGATAATCTACTGGAGTGGTGGGCAGAAAACGTGCACCGCTTCCCCCGCTTTCGAGGAGCTACCTGGCTATTCCAGCCACAAGCACCCCGAGTGAGAGGGTTTTTTCCCTGGCAGGCAACACTGTCACCCGAAAGCGGTCAAGCCTCCTTCCCTCACATGTCGATGCGTTGGTGTTCAAACCAAAAATATGGAAAGGTGGACGCTATCGTGGAGGACAGCGAATAAAGTGTTGCGCAATGCGCTGTTGCGCACTGGATTTACGTGGCATTTATGTAAACAAGAGTTTTTTGCTGTCGATTTTGGTGAGTCCAGTTACTGTTTGTTATTTACTCAGCCATGTAACACAAATTAAAATGCAGTGTTTAATGTTACTGTATGAGTTCCAATATAAAATACAGTTGTACACCTCTCTTTGTGTGTCTTTATTATGACGTAACGACTAGTCGACTGCTATTTTGAAAAACGTGTCGACTAGTAAATATTGGTAGTTGTGAAACCCCTAGTGTGTGTGTGTGTGTGTGTGTGTGTGTGTGTGTGTGTGTGTGTGTGTGTGTGTGTGTGTGTGTGTGTGTGTGTGTCTTACTCCAGGCCCAGAAGCTCCCGGTCTGCGGTGAGTTTTGGTTGAGCCGTGGGTGGCTGGCTGACCTTTGAACCCGTACCGCTTCATTACACCTTGAAAACCCTTACCGATGCTACACACAAGAATCACATTTTCAGGTTACGTTGAAGAATGATGACTTGTTGCCTCAGAGGATAATAACACGAAAAGAGATCTATTTTTGCTGCTGGCCCAAAAAGAGAATAGGAAGCGCCAGCAAGAATGGAAAGCCGGCATAACAGGACTTACGATTTGGCGGTGATGTCCACATATTGGCCTGGACGGAAATGTGCCGCAAACAGAGGAGTGCCTGCACACACAACAAAGAGTTACGTTATAGAATGTGTACAATCAAAGAAAATGATATTGTGTGACATTTCAAGCTAGTGCCGTGTGTATACCTGGCTTGATGATGGCATTGTCTGAGACTTTAAAGGTGGTGACTTTCTGTTTCGGAGGCACCCCCGCATTCCTGAACATCTCCATGTGCTCTTCAGACCTCTGCCAATCACGATGATAGAGAGAAAAGCAATGTGAGGATGGAAGGAAGGGAGATGAAGTGTTGAACGAACAGCAGTTGGACTTTGGCATTTTAAATTAACTGTGGGCCTGTTACAACTGTACAGGAGCCAAGCACGCACACACACACACACACACACACACACAGGCAGGCAGACATACGCACGAACACTTGGCAATGAGAGTCTCTGACATTTGCTTTCATACAGCTCGCTCTCATCTCAGCCCATCCACTCACTCTATGCTCTCTCCCTTTCAACAGAAGGGTGAAAATCAGCCTGCCAAAGCTCGTCACTCTGACAAACTCTGCCTCTGACTGAGGAGTTATGTGGCTGTGAGGGGGATCCTAAACAACAAGACTCAATGAATAAATCACGCTTTGATTCAGTCACCTTGCTCATTTGTTTCCTCCTTAAAAAGTCAAACAAATCCATGTCGTGCATACTAAAAAGGGCCTTCGACTTCTTTAGAAATGTTTATCCGTTTTTGAGAAGTGTTTTTGCGATGGAGGTGAGATATGCGGTGAGTTTATTACAGTCACGAAAGACACTTCTCAAATGCGTATGTGCTTGTCGTGGTTGGCAGTGATATCTGATTGGATCCTGTTTATTTTGACACCTAAGATGAAGTATAGTCACTAATGGTTAGTGGGTGAGTATAATCTCCCGGCAATGGATCTGTATTCATAAAAGGTCTGAGAACTTGGAGGCTGATATGAGCTCAATGCTACGGGGAAATGACAAAACTCAGTTATGCTTCCATAAAGCTGTCAGACTGATTCGATTTCTTTATGATTATGAAATGTAGCCAGAACTCAAATGAACAAAAATGGACATTGTGATATGATTATGGATTTGGCACTGGCTGCTCTGTCGGTATTATATGGAGCGTAGTGATAAGATATGATATTCACAAGCGTTACAATTCAGTACAAATTAAAGCATTTAACAATATCTTAGTTTCAACCTTATTAAGGATTGTTTTGATTAATATTAAAAGGTCATTATCTAACATGCTGAGATTTGTAGTGCAGGCCTTATTTAGTAAATAATAATTCAAACAAAAATGGTACATTAATGGATAATGATAATAGCAATAGTTTGTTCATCTGTAAAGCTCACCGAGACAAATGTATTTTGTGATGTTGATAACGATTATGTTGATAACGATAATAGACAGGGAGTTTTCTAAGGTTATCCTCAAAGCTATTTTCTTGTCTTTCTAAAGTGTGCTTTTTAAAAACATGCCATAACTATTTTTCTCTATCAACTTCTGAGGGAAAGATCAAGTTTCTTTCTCTGCTTAAAGCTCTATAACATTCATCAGCTTGTCTCTGGCTTTGTCTGGTCCGAAAACATGAGAGCGGTGAAAATGAACCAACATATTGTCATTGAAAGGTTCATCAAGAAATATGAGCTGAAACTTGATGTAAAGCTCTATACTCTTTCTTTGAAACTGCCCTTTGACGCATTATTATTATTAGAACAAATATTGATGAAAGCTAGTTAAAGAACATTTTAGAAAAACAACTAGAACAAATGACAGCAATAAGAATTGACCTAAGCAACATCATATGTCAAAACACAGAATTCACAGTGAAGATAAACTCCTTATACATGTATTTGTTGACATTATTAATTTGTATTTCTTACAAAGAATGGTGATACGTTCTTCCCTCCTACCAAGAGGGCAGCGGTGTGTCCATTAAATTCTTCCTTGGACAGATGCTTAATTACATGGCAGTCCTGCACCTGAAAAAAGAACAGAGGCTGGATTAACACAAGTTATAGTCACTGTGCCATTTGTTTTGTTCTGCCCTACAACATACACAAACATCTAATTATTGAAGTCCCTATTGAAATATGTACATTTGGAAAAATCTAAGTTAAACCTATAATATATGAGTTCATTACATTATGACATATTTTCAGTTTTGCTTCAGATAGAACATGTCCCACAATGCTGAAGTCGTGGGAGTACTTTCACCCTGAGAAAGGGTTTTAAAACACTTTCCATCTAGCACAGCCTGTTCCTGCATCAGCTAAACGGAAGAAAAATGACTGAATGTGATGAAAGTGAATCATCAGATGGGGAACGAACTTTTCGAACGCCCTTGAATGTGAGATTAAGAGGCAGGGATGAGAAATACAAAGAAAGTCTGACTATTAACATTAACATTTGACTGAAATTGCAGTAGGAGTTTGTAATGCTACTCTCTTCCAGTTTCACTAAAAGGGCAGAGTGAACACATTCTGACATCAATTGAGTTCACTGGCAGACTAGTTGGTCTCATTTAAAACATGATCTGAATAAACCTGACTTTAAAATACATCCTCTCTGCACCTTGCATGTTTAAAGACTGCAGATGAGATTGCAAGGTGTTCAATATTTGCTAAAGAATCTGCTTTTCTCACATGCAGGTCATTTCATCATAGACCACAAATAGGCATTATGGGACCTAAAGAATACCAAATACTTTTGGATGGAAAGCTTAGGTACAACAAAAAAGGCAGCAGAGAGGTGTGTGTGTTAGGGCTGCACGATTATGGCAAAAATCAAAATTTCGATTATTTGGTTCAATAATTGTAATTGCGATTATTAAATGCGATTATTCATTGACTTTGAAAACATCCATTTATTGGAGAAAAAAAAATGTGAAAAGTATGTTTTTAACAGTTGATTACCCTGAACTTTAAGTATAATTCAACTGAAAAACAAAAACAAAAACAAAAATAATAATAATAATAATAAAAAAATAATCGTTTTATTTCGATTACGTTGTTTTCGAAATCATTGAAAGCCATAATCGTAATCGCGATTAAAATACGATTAATTGAGCAGCCCTAGTGTGTGTGTGTGTGTGTGTGTGTGTGTGTGTGTGTGTGTGTGTGTGTGTGTGTGTGTGTGTGTGTGTGTGTGTGTGTGTGTGTGTGTGTGTGTTACCTGTAACAAGGTGACAACGTGTTTTTCTCCCGCTTTCGTCCAGATAGGAGCCATCCCCAACTTCACAGCTACTAATCCAACTCTTCGACTGCCTGTAAAAAGGAACAGATGTAAAGACAGTTTAATTGGGAGCAAACAGGAAGAGGTGCATCATTTTAACAGCTCGCCCTTCTCCCGACACCCACCCTCTGCCCAGTCATGGCGCTGCCAGGGCTCATCTTTGAGCGGGTTGAGCTTCTCAGCCGTTTGACTCCTGTATTCCTCCGCTATGGTCTTCCTCATGAACTCCTGGTTGTCCTCTGTGAGGTGTTCATCAAACCACGTTGTGGACTTTACTGTCCTGAAAATAAACACTGAATGTGCGGGACTGCAAGAAAAAGAGAAAGATGACAGTTAGATCAATAATGGTCAGACATAGGGATGTAACGATACCAAAAACTCACAGTACGATAATATCGCGATAACAAGTCCACGGTACGGTATTTATCGCGATATTGAAAATGGCATCACACAGTTGCTGAAATATCTCCTGAGCGGTGGTCTGGCCATGCATTGGTTTCACTGTAAGCAACTCCTCTGTCACTTCAAAATTGTCATCAACACCACGGACATTAGGGATGTAACGATACCAAAAACTCACAGTACGATAATATCGCGATAACAAGTCCACGGTACGGTATATATCGCGATATTGAATAATAAAGGGAAGGAAAAAAAANTTGTGCGTTTGTCCTTGTGACTGTGTGTGTGTGAGTGAGTGAGTGAGTGAGTGAGTGAGTGAGTGAGTGAGTGAGTGAGTGAGTGAGTGAGTGAGTGTGACACACTCACTCACTCACTCACTCACTCACTCACTCACTCACTCACTCACTCACTCACTCACTCACTCACACACACACAGTCACAAGGACAAACGCACAAAGTCTTGTTTTTGATCTTGTTTGTCCTTGACTGCAATTTCAGTTTAATACTCTCATCTGCATCCTCCTCTCCTGCAGGTATGGAGGGTCAATACCAAGTACAACGTGCTGTATGTGAACGGCTCGGTGCCCGGACACAGGAACTGCGTGTTGAAGGTAAAAATAATCATATACACACTTGTGGTGTCGAAGGTCAATTCCAGCATGCTTAGTTTTGTGAGAGAGACGAGCGACCTTGCACCTGTAAGACACCGTCACACCTGCAAGACTGTGTGATCCATCTTCATTGACTCCGTGCTGGATCAGCTGTGTGTGTGTGTGTGTGTGTATTTCTGTGAAGGGGGAGAATGGGAGCGCGCCCCTTAATGATGTTAGAAATATCAGCAGCATCCTTCACCTACTCAGCATGTTGCGTTAGTACACACACACACACACACACACAGCCTATTATTCTTTTTGCAGACAAGCGATAATGAATACAAATGTGCATTGCATTTCAACCTGCTCAGCTGTCCTACACACACACACACACACACACACACACACGCACACACCACACACACACAAATGCACTATTGTTTGTTTTTGATATTCTGTGCAGCCATATGTTAATGAGGATTAGCTATGTTCTATTGATTACAATGAATAGAAGGCAATGCAATAAACAGTATTCTTCATTATTCATCATTATGTTGTAGTTTTAATAATAACAAAGACTTTTTTTAAATGTATTTTTCGATAAGCGCAGTGCTTCTCAGACTGGGGATGCAGAGGGAGAGTAAATGATTAGGACTCTAGTGCAAACACAATTAGGTTATCATTTATTGTAGTATTGTTTACAATGACATTACTAATTGACTTGTTTTGTTAATAGTTTCCCCTGTATTGTAATGATTAACATGTAAATGTGTAATGTTTTATTATGCTTCTTCAGGGGATGACAGAATCAGATTGATTCTGATTTGATTTTCTAAAGTTTGAAAATAGTGGCACGAGGCTTTAACACAGCGATTGTTCAGTTTAACCCCGATATCCTTATTATAATGAAATCAAGCACAGGCAAACAATACATCCACAAATAGACAAGCTGGTGAATCCACATTTCTTTTACACAACTAACAATAAAGATTTTAAAGTTGAAAGTAACTGGAAAGTACATGATGTCACTCAGTTGTTTCAGTAATAATTCAAAGTTATGAAGCTTTAAAAAAGTGTGTGTTGTGTGTTCCAGGTGAGAGACTCTGTACTACCAAACAGGAAGTCCTCCCTGATCAACCCTCCTTTCCCGACATATTTCACAGAAGAGGAAGGAGACCTGGATGAAGACTTGTACGACGAGAACTTGTTCATTCAGACAGATCCATCGTTATCACTGACCTGAAGACCCCCCCCCCACACACACACACACACATCATGTTTTCATCTAAAACCACGATCCTGCAATAAAGAGTAATTCCTTTGAATGCCTCGAGTCTCTTTAGTTGTTTTTATCGTGAGATGCAACCACACCAGTCCTATCTGTTTGATCCAAACAGTTATTACGGTCCCTTCCCCCCGGAAACCATGGTAACTGTAGGAGTGATGATGTCACTGGAGGATCCCCAAGCAGAGGAGAGAAGCGGAAAAAAGACAGTGAAATGAAATAAAACAAAGGAGAGGAAGATGGGGTGGAGACATTTGCAATATCTATGCAGGATAAGGGGAGGGGGGCGGGGGAGAGGTGGTGAGCTGGATACGATGAGTTGCACTGTGAGGGGAATACAGACAAATTGGGGAGAGGGTAGGTAGGTAGGTAGTGGAGGAATGAATGGGGTTAAAGGAATGAAACACAAAGGAGAGTAAACACTGGAGAATGGGAGGGAGTCAGTGAAGGTGTGGAGGGCATCTAAATGGAGAGCAAGGGATGGAGGCTGACAAAGGTTGACATTTGTGCATAAGAGGATAAATGAGGACATTAATGTTGCAGCAGGAACCGCTGGGCGCTTAAGTGTGTGTGTTTGTGGCTGACAAATTCCCTCCTGCGCCGTGTGGGACCACTCCTTTCCTTTTTTGGAAATAACTTATCTAATGAGAGTAATGTCCTCCAAAGTGTTGGACTCTTGTTCAGTGTGAATGCCTTCATGTGATTCAGTCCCTCCCTCCCTGCTGTATATCTGCTGTTTAATTGACAGCAGTGCAAACAAGGCTTTTAACACTGACAAGTGGTAGCGATGCCTGACAGGAAACCCTGCAACATCTGAGGATACAAACCCTGCGTTGATGCCTGTTCTCTCATCGAAATGATACACACCCGGCTGACTCAGGAAGGCGTGACATACAGTAGTTGGTTGTGATTTAGATTTATGAAAAAAGATGTAGGGTGATTTAGTTTGTTGCAAACAACGTCCTGCTCCATATAACATGCCACAGCTTGTAGGTCCATGAGGCGGCAGCAGGTTCTTTGAAATGGTAATGATATCGTTTGAAAGTCCAGCTCTGCGGAGCCTGCACATCATCAGGCTCTTGTGGGGGTGGAGGAGAGGAGAGGAGAGGGGGGTGGGGGATTGCTGGCTATTAAAGCAGCAGAGCAGAAAGAGAAGACTAACAACTCCAGCCTGGTGTCTGTGTGTGCGTGTGGTAAAACATCATTAGGTTAGTTAGTTTTCAGTGTGGTACTCCACCCAATGACTCTGATACAAAAAGAAATACCCTGGAAATCAGGACGGACTCTAGTACGTTATCTGTAGCCTATGATAATGTGTTTAGGGAGATCAATAAAAGCGCTGGTACATCTGTGGTTAAACTGTGACCTCTGGTTTCAGTGTCATTAGGTCAAACACTTTTTAACTGCACAAATCTTCCTTCAAGACTGCAGCTGTATAAACCTGAGATCACTTAAAGGCCTTCAAATCCTGTTTTTGCTATCAGCATCCTAATATGTCTAAGAGGGTCCCTAAATAAACACAGAAGGTTATACTGTATATATATGGGATTTTAATAAATATTTGGTACAAATGTCTGTATTTTGTAGTTGGCTGTTAATGTAAAAGAAAAAATACACATGAAGATACACTATGCTGTTTTTAATAAATATTCACCGCTATAGAGAAATACATAACATGTGTGACCATATTGAGAGCCTTTTAGTCACTTAGGTTGGACTTTTCGTTGTTGAGAATCAACTCCGGACATGATTTGACTTTAGGCTGGAGAGTAAAAATATTTTGTGACCTGGTAAAACCCCCGAACAATAATACATGAATAATACAGCCCAGAGAAGGCATTGCATAACCACTCATGTTAAATATTTAAAATATTAGGTTTATGCATTTAAAGGACTTGGTTCTAGCTAAAGCTGCAACAAAAAAATATTATAAAGATTTGATCTAAAAATGTCAGAAAATAGAAAAAATGCAGACAAAGAGTTCTAACCCAGAAATACCCATACGATAATAGAAACTATAATGTATTCATTATTAAAAGATTCGACATTTCAGTCTTTTTGGTGAACATTTTATTAATTACTGCAAATAAAGTTTAAATGATCAACTAATAAACTACCATTAAACTATAAACTATCATTAAACTTGAGTAAAACCAAAATTAATGCTGTTCGGTAAACATAGAACAAAAATACAAATGCAAATAAAAATAGACTCGGTTGAAATTGAAAGAGTCCATGAAATGAAATGTCTTGGGGTAATAATAGATGACACAATAAGTTGGAAATTACACATAAAACATGTACAATCAAAGCTGTCCAGAAGCATTTCCATTCTAAACAAAGTAAAACAAGTCCTAGATCAGAAATCACTTTGCATTCTCTAGTCTTACCATATCTGACTTACTGTGCTGAAATCTGGGGCAATAACTACAAAAGTTCAGTATCTATTTTAAGAAAGAAAGCCATACGAATCATTCACAATGCCAAATATCTTGATCACACTAACGCATTATTCCTGCGGTCAAAATTGTTCAAATGTACACACCTGGTAGAATTCCAAACGACACAAATCATGTTTAAGGCAAAAAATAACATTTTACCAGGAAACATCCAAAAAGTATTCACTCAACGAGTGGGGGGATATACTGTAGTTCAAGGAGACCATTTCAATTCGAAATTCATAGGGTCCGTAAAACCAGAAGAACATTTCTCAGCCTATGGAGTGAGTAATTATTTATTTTACTTGTTCGAAATAAAATGTATCAATCAATCAACTATTCAAATATGCAGCTGCTCTTTTAACATGAACTAATGTCAAAACAGCTTTGAAACAACAACACTGGCCAAATGGCATGCCATTTTAATGATCAACATTTAACTCTTAATATAAGCCCAATGGACCCTTCGGCGGGTCCGAAACCACAACATCTGCAAGCAACAGTGTCTGAGGGTTTCTTAAGATTTAATAAACTATGAATGTTTCATATCCATGTAACGGGAAGAAACTCAGCTAACAGATGATTATTTTTTTTTAGCAAAAAAAACCACAAGGCTAACGCTGAGCCTCTGAATTAGCCCCGAGTGAAAAAATGCTAACGCCGTTAGCACAGAAAACA